TCTCTCTCTCTCTCTCTCTCTCTCTCTCTCTCTCTCTCTCTCTCTCTCTCTCTCTCTCTCTCTCTCTCTCTCTCTCTCTCTCTCTCTCTCAGTTATTGCTTGCATGCGAGGTCCACCAGAAGACCCAACACATGACATTTGCGAAATTGCATAGCGAATCGTCCAGTCGGAGAAAAGGACGTGAACAAACCGCGAAAACACACGACATGAGCACTGTGAAACGAATTTTTCCCCCCATACATAACGCGGACCATACACGAAAGGTGAAACGTTTTCAGCACGTTTCAACAAGCTTTCAACACAGTTCAACAAGTTTTCAACAAGTTTCAACAAGCTCCCAACAACTCTTCAACAACTTTTCAACAAGTTTTCAACAATTGTTCAACATTTGGACCAACGTAATTTCAACAGTTGGACCAACACATGAACACACCAGTTTCAGTTTTTCCAATATTTGGTCAGCGTTGGTTTTCTTGACTTTTGGTAGAACACATGACACCCCCCACCGCCAAACAGTTTATAAACACAGTTCCAACGGTTGAAATATGATATCCACATATATTCATCAAGGCCAAAAATTTGCCACAATTTTTATGTTGTAGAGGCAAAATTCATTCTCATTGTGCACAACAATACAACGGCTGTTGTTCAACGAGCACGTCTTGTTGGTCGAATTGCTTGTCGGCGATTGCACAAATTTGCTATCAGGGTTTTTGTGATGCTCCTCATGGCAACGTACTCTTTGACTGCTTGGGCATCTCCATATTCACAATCATGTTCGTGGTCATTGGGTTTACCTTGGATGCTCCAACCGTTGGCCACAATCTAATTTGTGTAGGCTTAAGTGTGAAGTACTACTAGGGGCGCATCTATTTTGTTGAGTTATCACATTGTTGTCTCTATGTTGGCGCTTCTTATAGAGTGGTGTAGCAAAAACAACATGTTTTGTTCCCCTACAAACATATTGTTGCTTACATTGGAACAATTGTTTATATCCTTCGGTGTACTTTGGGCCACAAGTACCGCCGTGTTTTTACTATTGTGGTGCCGCTCAGTTTTTACTGTTACCATTGTTGTGTTTTATGAGTTGTTGTACCTTTTCTACTACACCTCTTTTACTTTCTTATATTGTACACGACTGTTATAGCCTATATTAAAATATAGCACAAGGGGTGTGCTATGTTTTAGCGCAATCCTTCGAAGTTGCGTAGTTGTCAATCCATTAGGGTGACCAGCATATTGTGAATTGGACAATGTTTGATGTGTGATTGGAGAGCGACTATGACTTCCAAGGCTACAGGGTGTCTCTACTTTGTCAAAATTACAATTTTGACAGTGGTATTTGCGTTTTTTGTGGGACCCTCGGGCGCATGAAGACATAAAGGTTCTCTCACGCGAGTTAAAGTGAACCTATTTTGTATCTGATAGACTAAATCACATCTCTTTCTACATTTCTTACTCTAAGTCTAGTGTAAAGGTTTAAAGAGGGAGGCGGTAGGCGGGATTGAAACCCGTAATCCATGCCAAAGGTCTTTGCAGGAGCTCTGTCGGAACTTATACAGTGTTCTAAAGGCAGGGAACCTACGAATACGATTCTTGTATTTTCGTGTGCCCACTATATCCCTACCAATAGGGAGGCCGTCATTCGGGACGGGTCAAACCCCTGAACGTACAAAACCCCTTGGGAATGCGTTCGGTCGTTCGGGCCGAACGTGGACAAAAAAAAAATAATAATAAAAAAAATCACAAAACTCTGCAAAAAATATATGTTATGCATAAAAATAAACTAAACAATGTTGCTTGAGCATTACATCCAAATTCCTTACCAAATTCGAAATAAATATATTAAAAAAAATATTAATAAGAAGAAAAAAAAAAATTATAGATTTAAGATTAGTGAGTGGGCAAACTTGTTTTCGAGAGTGTCATCTTTGGCGATTTTTTTTTTTTTTTTTGCATAGCCAAATACTCTGCAATTTTATATATGTGTATTTCACATAATACAAAACTCATGCAAAAAGTTAAAAAAAATAATAAAATATTTTAGGCATCAAAATAAAATCACAATAACAAGTGAAAAGTGAAAAAAAAAAAAAATTAAGTAGTCAAACACGTTTTAACATATCTTTGATGATTTTTATTTATTTTTATGGTTTAGAAAAGTGTCTTTAAAATTTATATGCGTGTAGCTCATGTCCCAAAGAATTTACGAAAAAAATTCAACAAACAAAATCAGTTTAAGTCTCCGAAATAATTTTTGGCATGGGCCAAACTTGAACGGAACCTCGAACGCCTGACTGTTCGGGGTCAGCCCAAGGGCCCCCGAACGTTCGGCCTGGTAACATGCCTACCACTACATTTCTTTAGGTTGTCTAACGTGTATGTGTACATCCTTACAACTTTTGTTTATTTTCGGGACTCAATCAGATTAAGTAAAATAATGCATTCATAAATCTTACTTTACTTTATTGTTTGAAGTCGGACTTAGGAAAATCAATTGGGGGAAGGTGAGAGAAATACGGTTTTGCTTGTAATTTACTGGGTCGTTAAAAAAAATCATATTTTGTTTCTAAGATGAATATTGTGAATGTTATGATGTATTATGTTTTTTAAACGACCCAACATTGTTTCTAAAATAAATGGTTTGGTTGTTGTGTGTTCTGTTTTACTTGTTTTTTCCATAAGCATACATCGTTTCTAAGCTGAATGACCTGATTGTGGGTTATTTGGGGTTTTGATTGAATGACTTCTAACGACAGATAGTGTTTTTAAGATGATTGGTCTGACCGTTTGTTTATTTTTTTGCGGTTTTCAACTGGACGCTGAACATTGTTTGTAAGATGAAGGACCCTGAGTTCCTTGCTTTTCTTTGGTTATGAAGCTGACGGTTGAGTAATGTTTCTACG